GCTGATTGAAGGTATGGCTATTGTAGCTGAGTAAGGTGACCGCCAGCGTTCGCGGCACCGGATGTTGTCTTTTGATTTCTAGGATTTTTCCTTATATATTATTATTGGCCCTGTAGTTGTGTTCAGGTTTCTTTAGATGTTCGTGACTTGTGACACCCCGGTCGGATTGTGTTGGGTTGTACATACTGGTTATTATTGTCGTTAAGCTATATTTATCTATACATTTATGTTTAATAATTGTTAAAGAAACGAATTGGGTTAGTTGGCTGGCCTTGTCTTCACGAGAGGCGCCATCACGACCGGGTATGGAAATTGGGTCGTGACATTTTTCCTCTGATTTCTGTTGGTGGTACTGATTTATCTCTTTTCGTCTTCTGAATCAATCGATCTTTGACAAATCCAAATCCGAAGCCGAAGCCGAGCCGAGCGAGCGACGACGACGGCGCGAGGCTTGCCTTCTTCTTAGCTCCTTAAGAGCTAAAAGATGAGCTTCTCTTTATATACACAAAGATTTTCTTTCCTTCTACCAATGAGGGACAAAGTGCATAAGTGAAATGAACTCATTCAAAATTTCACTTCCCACCATTTTCCATTCACACCTCTTTTGTTATTATTTATTAATAACAAACCCTACAGTTCTTACTACTCTTTCGTTTTTCATAGTACCGGGTCTATTTACCGGCGATCGCTTTTGCTTTGCATCTATCTTCTGGTTTTCTTGATGTTGCTATTTTTCCTCTGATTTCTGTTGGTGGTGCTGATATTATCTCTTTTCGTCTTCTGAATCATTCGATCTTTGACAAATCCGAATCCGAATCCGAAGCCGAAGCCGAAGCCGAAGCCGAAGCCGAAGCCGAAGCCGAAGCCGAAGCCGAGCCGAGCGAGCGACGACGACGGCGCGAGGCTTGCCTTGTTCTTAGCTCTTTAAGAGCTAAAAGATGAGCTTCTCTTTATATACACAAAGATTTTATTTCCTTCTACCAATGAGGGACAAAGTGGATAAGTGAAATGAACTCATTCAAAATTTCACTTCCCTCCATTTCTTTTCCCACCATTTTTCATTCACACCTCTTTTGTTATTATTTATTAATAGCAAACCCAACAGTTCTTAATACTCTTTCATTTTTCATAGTACCGGGTCTATTTACTGGCGATCGCTTTTGCTTTGCATCTATCTTCTTGTTTTCATGATGTTGCTATTTTTCCTCCGATTTCTGTTAGTGGTACTGATATTATCTCTTTTCGTCTTCTGGAGCCGAAGATCTTTCGGAAACAACCTCTCTACTCCCTCGGGGTGGGGGTAAGGTCTGCGTACACACTACCCTTCCCAGACCCTACTAGTGAAATTTCACTGGGTCGTTGTTGTTGTTGTTGTTATTAGTTCAAGCAATTCTAATGACCGAAAAAAGGGGAGGGAGTTAAACAAAGAAGTGCAATTGATGAATATTGATTTAATAAGTTAATATATTATTTTACGGAGGGAGAAAAAAATATAAGAATATTGATTTAATAAAGGAAAAATATGTTTTAGGAAGGCAACTGGAAAAGAAATATCAAAATAGGTTGAAATGTTTGTGCCCGCTAATTCCACAAAATAAGATAAGAAATAAAATATACAAGCTGAAATTATTAGCTTCTCAACAAATGGATTAAATCCCTAGCATTTAGTTATAATTACAAAAGTCTTATATTATTGATTAGATATGTCGTTGAACATATGTACTTGTAAAATATTTAATTTATAAAGTTGGTTAAAGTTGCACACCAGCATCACCCTTACAATCAGTTCAGATATCACATTGAAAGTGAGACGAGATAGCTATATACTTTGTCCAATTATACGAGTAAACTAGCCGAGATATGTATTTAATGAGATAATGTGCCTACGCTAAATACCATCATCCATAGTATCACACAGAGATCGATCCTATCAGTAACACAATTGTAGCGTCCTCAAACGGATGAGGTTGTTGTCCATCTATTCTTGATTTTTCAACTTCATTTCTAGGTGTTGTTGCTGTAGACTGTAGCAGTGTGTTATTAATCTAATTGTAATTCTTCCACCATACCATTTATGTATCTCACTGCCCTATCATTTCTTTTTTACACAAATAGACACTACTACTTGCACGGTTTTGTCAAACTAATCCTCCAACTTCGGGGTTTTTCAACTAAAGTACACTACTAGTTGGTGAAAACACATGTTTTAAAGTCTCTCCTTGTTGACTAATAGCCCGTTTGGCCAAGCTGCAAAAATCAGCTTATTTTGAGAAGTGCTTTTTGTCAAAAGTGTTTTTCTCAAAAGTACTTTTGGTGAGAAGCAGTTTGTGTTTGGCTAATTAGTTTGAAAAGCACTTCTGAGCAGTAATTAGTGTTTGGCCAAGCTTTCAAAAACTGCTTCTAAGTGTATTTTTCTCAAAAAAGTGCTTTTGAAGAGAAGCTACTTTTTTCTGCTTCTCCAAAACTGCTTCTGCTTCTCCTCAAAAGCACTTTTTTTCCTTCCAAAAGCTTGGCCAAACACCTCAATTTTTGGCCATAAGTGCTTTTGGCAAAAAAAAAAGCACTTTTGGCCAAAAAGAAGCTTGGCCAAACAGGCTATAAGTTTGTGTGGCATTGGTTTGGCTAATGTAGCAAAAGTGTGCATAAAGAGAAAGGAGCGTAAACGTTAAAAAAATAGCACTTCTTTTCATGTTTTGGACACTTTGGTCACTCTTTTGTTTGGCCTTGGCATTTTTTGGGGAGAAATTCAAAAATAGCCACATTTACCAGTGATAATTGAAAAATAGCCACAGTTTCAAGAGTAATCGAAATTTAGCCATTTCTCATGTAAAAGATAAATCTGAACAAAAACATTGTTCAAAATCCGGAAAATATTTCAGCATAATATGCTAGAATTCGAATTTTTTACATGTGAATTTCCAGCATAACATGCTGGAATTTCATAATATGCTGGAAGTCCATACACATGTGCTCCGATCTGCAGCATATTATGCAGGAACTTTCCATGTGCTAGAGTTCCAACATAATATGCAAGAAGTTCATACATAGGTGCTTCAATCTTCCATATATTATGCTGGAATTTTCCGTGTTGCAGTTTGAAAAATGCCTATTTTTCAATTACCAGTCCGGAAAGTGGCTGGACCATGCTACTTTGACCATTTTTTGAGGTATGGTTGCATGCGTCTTTATCTCTATTTTGATCCATTTGATGTTCTCTGACAATTGATAAAAACCAGAAAATAGGTTCACGAGCTATTTCTGCAGCCTTCTTGATCACTTATGTTGTTAGCAATATTTCTACCATCTTTCCAATCTAAATTACTGCAGAACGGTGAAGCTTCATAGGATCTTCCAGTCCAGGTGCAGGTAATCTGTACGTCCACAGACATCTCTATTTCACCGAGCTTCTCTCCAAGACAGTGCTCAGATCGATGCGCTTTTCGTGCGAGTCAGAACTTATCTGACAAAGAATTTCACTAGCTTAGGAGTTATAGCCGCCGTACACCGGTACTTCGATCATTGGCTCCCTTGTCATCAAGTCACCTTCTACCTTCGACCCTTCGGGCAGTGGGCCCCATACATGGTCTTACGACTTTGTCTAGACCTATGTTTTTGGTAAACAATGCCCCGAGCCTGAATTGTGTAATGTACACTGTTGGATAACTGATGTTAGTATATCCTTTATCATATGAAAGGCCAACCTTCTGATTTCTGAAATATCTAAATCAATTCATTCTTAAGTCAACAATCCCCCGCATAAAAGAAATCTGATGATTTGCCACCTACCTTACAATAGAATAAAAAAGAAAAAGGATTGGGTGTCCATTTCTTTCTGGTCAAAATGTTATTGATGGAAAAAGAGTTAATATAGGTTTCCCATAAATCATCATAAATCCCTTTGAATGTCCTTAATACACAATATTGGACATTATCTAATACAAACACTAAGAAGATTCTCCTCTGGTAAAATTTCTTAGTAGAATTAGTATCTGAATCATTTGAGTGCCTCTTGAACATGGATGCAGCTATATAAAGAAACCAGTAAATAATAAATCCCTATCCTTTTGTTATAAATATTTTTCAAAGATGCCTTAGAAAAATCAAGCACTGTAACAAATAGCAACACTACTAAAATATGTCCATAAAGAAAACAGTTTATAATAGAAAATGAAATGATCATCGTCCCCTTTGAAAGAAGATGATTGCAGCAGAAGGAAAAGGAAAACTATGGTAAAAGGTCATATACACAATTAACAAGTCAATATTATAACTACTTGCTAACTAATATAATGTCTAATTCTCTTTCAGTACTCAAAAGTATATCCTTGATTGACAAGCAGTGGCGGAGGCAGGATCTCCATGAAGGGGGTTCAAAATTTTTTTTTGTAGCTAGTGGGAATTGAACCTATGACCTTATCAAGGTTTGGAACCCCCTCGACCACTAAACTACACTTTTGGGTTGTGTTAAAGGGGGTTCAAAACTTAATATATAGAGGTAAATACCAGATTTTACCTTATATATTCGGCGAAGGGGATTCGGGTGAACCCCCTTCCGCCCCCCTAAATCCGCCCCTGTTGACAAGTCTAGAAAATTGTCTGGTTTGTCCTCCCAAGTAAGAATAGATTGTCTCTGTTCATGTATTTCTTGTTTGGTCAGCTGCAATATAAAGTGTTAGTCTTCCATGGTAAAGTTGCTGCCATGTGACAAGGAGGTCACGGGTTCGAGCCGTGAAAACAGCCGAAATGAAGGGTAAGGTTGCGTACAATAGTCACTTGTGGTCTGGCCCTTCCCCAGACCCTGCACATAGCGGGAGGTTAGTACACCGGGCTGCCAAAAAAAGAAAAAAAAAAAAGGTCTTCCATGGTGTGTTGGCACTTGGCAGTTAACAGTTTCAAAGAATTCCAAAAGCCTAGCTATAATTTAAAGAATTCCAAAAGCAGAGTTCGTGCCTTTCACTATTTTATTGCATTTAAACTTCTCAAATTCTATCTGTCCCATGTTGAAATAGGAAAGACTTTAATATTATTTCCTTTTGTTTTCCAGGTGTTGGATGGATGCCAACTTCTTATATATTTTTGAAGGGGCCGGGAGATGGTTGACTTTAGAACAATAGACAGATACATCAGTAGGTTGACCAGCAGAACAAAGAAGAACTCAGAACTATTAGCATTGCATTAGAGATAACATTACACAATTTGACTCAGATTCAATTTGTGACAAAACAAAACATGGCAGAAATTCTGTTGACAGTAGTAATCAAGAAGGCTGCAGATATTGCCGGTGAACTTATTTCAGCACAAGTTTCTAGGTATAGTAAATTGCCAGAGAACACAAAATGGATCGAAAGAGAGATGAGACACATGCAATCTTACCTCAAAGATGCTGAGTCCAAGCAAGCCAGAGATGAAAGAATCAAGAACATGATCAAGGATATTGAAGAAATTGCTCGTGATGTGGAAGATATTCTGGATGAGTTTCTTCCCAAAGTTGCATCCAAGGGAGGAAAATCACTTGGGTTTTTTAAGAAGACTTTTCACGCCATTCCGTTTGGAATAGCTGCATTTAAGTTTGTTTCAGAAATTGAGAAGATCAAGAGAAGGGTACATGAAATTGATCGCGTAAGAACAACTTATGGTATCATGGATACCGGTGCTAGTGCTGAAGCTGATGGCAACTGGGATTTTAGAAGATCATTTCTCTATGCCGATGAACCTGATGTTGTTGGTCTAGACAAAGATTGCCAAAGTTTAGAGGCCAAATTACTCGATGCACATTTAAGGTACGCTGTAGTCTCAATAGTTGGCATGCCAGGTCTGGGAAAGACAACACTTGGAAAGAGAATTTACAGGCGTCTTCAAGGTAATTTCGAGTGCTCCGCTTTAGTCTATATTTCTCAAGAGCCAAGAATGAGGGAGCTTCTACTCAGCATAGCTAGACAAGTAGGCCTACCAGAAGGAAGGAGAGATGAGGAGTTGGAGTTCAACTTGAGCACATTCTTGAAGGAAAAAAGGTATCTTGTTTTCTTGGATGACATTTGGAATACTAGCACTTGGGATGGTTTGAAACTTGTCTTCCCCAACAATTGTAAAAGTGGAAGTAGGCTTATTATTACTTCACGAAATAATAATGTTGGTCGATACATTGGAGGTGAAAAATCACTTCATAAGTTGCAACCCCTAGATCCAGAAAATAGCTGGAAGCTATTCTCCAAGATGATCACAACCCTTCAAGAAACCACCATCAATCCACCAGAGCTGATAGACATTGCTAGGAAGATAGTAGGAAGATGTGGTGGCGTGCCTCTAGCTATTGAGATGACAGCAGGTATGTTGCGTGCCCGAGAAAGAACAGAACCTGAATGGAATGGGATACTCAAAAAAATAGGTCTAGATGATCAAGACAAATTCTCAAAGATTTTGACTTTGAGTTACACGGATTTGCCGGCCACTTTAAAACCTTGCTTTCTCTATTTTGGACTCTTTCCTGAGGATACACAAATATATGCTTCTGATTTGATCAACATGTGGGTTGCAGAGAAATTTTTAGGAAGTGAAAGGGGGATGGATGCCACAGATATTGGGGCAGACTACCTAAACATCTTGGTGGCTCGGAATTTAATCCAGGTTGCTAGTAGAGGATTCGATGGAAGGATCAAAAGTTGTCGAATTCATGATCTTTTGCATGATCTTTGCATTACACTGGCTGAAGAGAGCAACTTTTTTCAGAAGGTAGACAGCAGAGGTTTTGGTGCTACTACTACCAGAATTCGAAGAGTTGCTCTCCATCCTCGACATATCACTGAGTATGTCACTTCAAACTCTGAAGCTCCAAAGATTCGCGCTTTGCTATGTTTCACCAGCGATTACCAGGGAATCGACCAGCAACATCTCCAACATATGATTTCCAGATTCAGGTTCCTACGTGTTTTGAGTCTTGAGGCTAGATATTCTTGGTGCTCTTTGCCAAATGAAATTGTGAACATGAACCACTTAAGTTACATTAAACTAAAAGGAACTTTCCATGGAGAATTTCCTTCCCGTGTATGTTATCTTGAAACCCTTCTTACCTTGGACATCCGAGGATGTTTGGGAACCATATTCCTTCCTACTTCTGTCTGGAGGATGAGACAAGTGAGACATATCCTTCTTGGATATACTACTAACTTCATATCCTCATTTTCTCTCACACGCAGATTTAAGAACAAAAATATGTCCCTTCCAGATAAGGTGGATTCAATAAATCTCCAGACACTGTACAATGTACAATCCGAGTATTTGAAACCGAGCTGGTTCTCTAAATTCATCAATTTAAGAAGATTGAAGATAAGGTATATCTCAGAAGAGATATTGAGGGCATTGATGGATGCAGATCATGTGTTACAGAAGCTCGAGAAGCTTTGTTTGGGAGGAAATTTCGACGACAGAACTTCTATAAGTATTGAAGCAGGGGCAATCAGCAGTACGTATTATACACAGACATTCAATCTTTCTGGCTATCATTATCTCACCAAGCTGAATATTGAGCACATACCACTGAAAAAACTACCCAACTCGGAAGCATTTCCTCCAAATATCATCAAACTTACTATTTCCGCATTTACAATGACAGAAGATCCAATGAATACACTAAAAAGACTACTCAAATTAAAGATCTTGAAACTCAGAGACTTTTACTACAACAGTGTAAAAAAGCTGGATTGCTCTGGTGTAGATAGTTTTCCGCAACTTGAACTGCTTGAAATTGAAGATTGTACTTCTCTACAAGAATTGATAGTGGATGATATGGGAATGCCAAAGATCAAGAAGATTGTAGTTCTTAATTGTCCTTCACTAAAGAAAATCTCAGGGAGACTTCAATGCAGATTGCTGGAGAAGACATCTGATGCAAAAAGGAGGAGAAAATAATCTATGTTGGTATTGTTGTTTTGATAGATTGAGACGCCATGCCTTTGTTCTTTTATTTGTTAAGACATCCCCAAAATGTCTACAGACTTGCTTCAACATGGTTTCCCTGCTAGACTCACTGCAATTCATAGGCACACACGAATCACGATATCCCTTTTCATCATTCTCATTCTCTCTTTTTTCTTTACATATGTAGCACTTTCAAAACAATAGTGAAGATTTGGTTGCCAAATGGAATGTGTTGTCATTGGTCTAATAATATATATAGTAGAATTCAATTTCTCAATCTTAATGCAATTCATGTCAAGATGATTGCTACTCACAGCCTCTGCACATGACATGGATTGAAAGTTCTTGATTGGACAACTCTTACACTAAACTTCTTAATCCATGGAATGAAAGTTAGCAACTTTCATCCAACCTTTACCAAATGTTCATTCAAAAACTAATGGTGCAAATGAAAGCCACGCAATTATGACTTAAATTACTTCCAAACTAAAAAATGTTTGAATTTGGAAGAACTTAATTAGCAAGTTTCAGTTTTTAGTCACCAAAATAACTCAAATCAATCTTATAATATTACAAATAAACTAAAATTTTCTGATAACTCAAAACACAATAGAATTACCTGAATCAGAAGATTTTGGATGTTTTGTGAAGAAATTGGAGGTTGTATGTAGGTTTTGTTTGCTAATACTCACTCAAAATTACTTCATTCACCGTCGAAAATGGAGGAATACATCGGAGGGAAACGGACCTAGTGCGACTTATAAATCGTAAGTACAAATGTGACTTATAAATATTTAAAGGTTAATTACTCTATATACAGTTATACGCCTATATTTGACTCAGTTTCGAATGGACATACTGTGAATTGAAATTAACCAACTAAACTTCTCTGTATTACGGAAATGTTACACTTACATACCCTATGAGTTATCTATTTATTTATATTTATATTTATATTTATACTATATTAAAAGCACTAAGGCCCTTAGCGAAATGTCGTTTGCCTTTTTTACCCTTTAAAAATGGCCGAATACATACGGAGACACTTAAAGTTGGCACGATTTTTCATTTAGACACCGGAACTTAGGGGTGTTCCTAATGAGCACGTACATTACACGAACTTTGTTCCAATTAGACACTCTTTTGACAACTAGCGAAACTTACAAAGTTTGTGCAATACACTCGCTGCTGATGTGGCAAATGGCAAATAAATGACAAATAAAATGACGACATATATCTTTTTGAGTTAAAAAAGAGAGGAAAAACTATGTTAAATCTATTTAATAGACAAAATAAAAATAACATTCTCAAAAAGAAAAGAAAAACTTAAGTTACACCCAATCAAGAAAGAGCACATTTTAAAAAAAAATGAGACATTGGTGTTTTGGAAATCAGTATTCTTGGTGTTCTTCACTATCTTCATGTGTGTTCTTGTTCCAACCAAGATTTTAATCCAAACTTTTAAGAAAAACTACTCCAAATCTGTTATAACTTCAGCTAAAGATTCCCCACGACGACCCGTAGTCAACCCCAACATTAATTTCACAAACTTTCATCCAATCAAGTAACCCATTTTAAATCTTCAAGCTTTTAAAAGACCCCGTTAATGGATCGTTGCTCTAGGCTCTCTAGCGCGGGGTTGAAGTCCAAATTTATAATTCACCGTACCCTTATTTCACTTTCCTTCTCTTTCAATTCAAGTGTTCCTATCAAAATTCCGGATCTTGTCTTATAGAGAGTTTTCCTACTGCTCCCTCTTTTCTCCTTCGACTACTCAGATCCAGTGCTACATTTCTTCTTTTTCATTGGGTAAGCTCACGCCGTCACTTTTACATGTCTTAGCATTTTTGTTTTGCTGTGTAATTTTGCGGAGATTTTGAAATTATTGGATTATTTACGAATTTTGTTTAACGGAAAAGGGTTCAAAATGCTCCTAAACTATTGGAAAAGGTTTAAAAATACCCTTCATCCACCTATTGGGCTAAAAATACCCCTCCATCCACCTTTATGGTTCACTTATGCTCTTTGACTGTTAGGTCAATGTTTGAATTAAAAGTAATTATTATTCTTTTTGTAAAACTTAAAAAAAATATTTTACAAAATATTTTTGTTTTTTCAAACTAATGCACATGTAGTCCCCACTAATTTAGTAAATTCTTCCTCTTCTTTTTTTTCAATTTTTACAAAAAAATATTATTTTTTTCAGTTTTTCTAAAGCATTTTTTTTTTTTGTAAAAACTGGAAAAAAATTGTAACAATAGAAGAAAAAAATGTTTTTAATAAAATATTTTCGTTTTTTAAAAACTGAAAAAGATATTTTCAACAAAATATTTTCGTTTTTGAAAAATATTTTTTTCTCTTTTTTTCAGTTTTTTTTAAAAAAACAAAAATATTTTTTCTTTAAAAAAACTGAAAAACGAAAATAAAACGAAATGCTTTAAAAAAACTTAAAAAATAATATTTTTCAAAAAACGAAAATATTTTTTTCAGTTTTTAAAAAACAAAAATATTTTATTAAAAACATTTTTTTCAGTTTTTACAATGTTTTTTTAGTTTTTACAAAAAAAAAATGCTTTAAAAAAACTGAAAAAAATGAAAAAAAAATAAATTTTTTTTTGTAAAAACTGAGTTGTTTTTTGTAAAAATGAAAAAAAAGAAAGAGACTTTACTAAATTAGTGGACTATTGGTGCATTAGGTTAAAAAAACGGAAAATATTTTGCAATTTTTTTTTTAAGTTTTACAAAAAGAATAATAATTATTTTTAATTTTAACATTGACCTAACGGTCAAAGGGCATAAGTGAACCAATAAAGTGGATGAAAAAGTATATTTGGCCCAATAGGTGGATGAAGGGTATTTTTAAACCTTTTCCAATAGTTTAGGGGCATTTTGAACCCTTTTCCGTTTGTTTAACCTTTTGATGCTTGGATCTAGAGAATTTCTATTATGCTCGGATAAAGGAGAAACTATTGAGCTAAATCAATGGTTGAGGCACAACAATGGTGAAAGTGGAGGAGGCAATGGTGGAAATGGTGGTGGACATAAAGAAGAAGAAGGAGGAGGAAATAAAAAAGACCAAAAAAAAAGAAAGAAAAAATCTGTTTGTTGGACTCTTCACGCGCCTATATTGGGTGAAGCTCACTCAATGTGCCAACTCAGCAAGAAGTGCCTAATTGGAATAAGTTCATGTAATGTACGTGCTCATTAGGAACACCCCTAACTTCAGGTGTCTAAATGAAAAATGGTGCCAACTTTAAGTGTCTCCGTATCTATTCAGCTTTTAAAAATAAATTTCACACTAAACAAAATAGTAATTTAATTATTTTTCTAATATTTAGGAGTTCTAAATCAACTTATATTTTATTTCCCTAATATTAGGAGTTCCAAATCAACTAAATTTTGCATATTAAATATTCCTTGTTTGAACTTGTCCTAACGTGTGAAATAAGCATGAAAAACTATACAAAATATTTACTTTTTTGAGGAAAGGAAAACTTAAGGCTTAGAATTGGTAGTCCATTGCTTCGTTGGCCAATGAAAAATTCAAAATTTTTATGTCCTAACTTTGGTATAAAATATTCAGCTTTCAAATAATCTTTTCTATCTATATTTACTTTTACCAAAGTAAGAAAACAAAAAACAAAATCCCAAACAATTAATATTCTTTAATTACAATTAGTGCAAAAAATTGTTAAGAAAAATTATAATTATAAATAATATTTTATAAAAATATATTTATGTATGTGTTATTAGAGTGAAATTCAAAAATAGCCTGATTACAAGTGATAATTGAAAAATAGTCACAGTTTTTAAAAGTAATCGAAATTTAGCCACTTTTTATGTAAAGATAAATCTGAATGAAAATACTATTCAAAATTCGTGAAATATTCCAGCATAATATACCAGAGTTCCAATATAATATACTGGACTTCCAGCATAATATACTGGAGTTCCAGCATAATATGGTGGAAGTTCATACACGGGTGCTCCAATCTCCAATATATTATGCTGGAACTTTCCGTGTGTTGGAGTTCCAGCATAATATGCTGGAAGTTCATACACAGGTGCACCAATCTCCAGTATATTATGTTGGAATTTTCCGTGTTGCAGCAAAATAGTGGTTATTTTTCAATAACTTTGCAAACACTAGCTATTTTTCAATTATCAGTTCGAAAACTGGCTAACATATACTATTTTCACATTTTATTAGGATTCTGAGCATGAAAACCTAATCAAAGCTAACAATATAACACTAGAAAAGTAAATAAATTTGAGTGGACTTCATTTTCTAACTTCTCATATTATTCAATGAGAATACATATTATACCTACTTTTGAAATTCTAATTACAATTAAGTTCTACCTTTCTAAATATTATTTTTATATAATATTTGAAAATTACACTGACCAATAATAAAATAAATTACTAAAAAGATATTTAAAACATAAAAGACAGAGAGAAAAAAAATGGTTGACATTTCTATCAACACCAAAATTCAAAAGTGAAATATTAGATTAGTTTTTGACTTCAACAATGCAAAATTTTATTGGATAAAATTATAATTACAATTAAATATTTAAACTATGAATGAGCTAATATATGAAGAATCTGAATGAATAAAGAACAAACTATTTTTTTTAATGCTAAGAACAATAATTAAATCTTTGAATTACTAATTAGCAAAAGAATTTAATTTAACTATTTTTTAAATTTATCATATAAGTAAAATTAGTTTTCAGGTTAACAAAATCTTAGGATATATAAATTATCCCTATAGAAAGAGTATTAGTGGTGAAAAAAATGAACAAAATTAGTATTAAGAATCAAATTAGTAAAAAATATAAACTTAAAATAATGAGGATGAAATAATGGAAGACAAAATATATTCTAAACAAGTTGTCATGAATTATTATTATTTGCATTTATTCCAAATAAAAAAAGTCAAGGTTTTTATATATTAAGTTAATAGTGGTAAAATAGTAACTCAAGATCAATTTTTTTAGACTTTACATTGTCACTTATTAATTTTTTTCCAAGAGCTATAAAACCAACATCATCATTTCTAAAGACCAAGAGATTCAATTTTTTAAATTATTTGATTTATCATAAAAGTATTTTATGTTATTTGTTTATTTTCAGTATTAGACTATAGAAATAACAATAATTTTCATAAGATACTTTTATAGAATTCCTCATAAATCACAATAAGGTATATGAGGACTTCTATTGTCAAAATTTATTTCTTATTGAGCTAATAAAATAGGATCATCCGTCTTCATTTTCAAGAACTTGCATTTTTTTTATTAATTTTAATTTTATAAGTCAAATATATTATTTAATAATATTTATATTAGTTTTTAAAAATTATGTATCTTTAAATAAGTATGTTAAAATATGATTATTAATAAATATATTAAAATTAAAACTCTTTATGTATTTATCTTTTATTAAATTTAGAAAGAGGATAAATATATTTATAAAAAATCTTATTTCATGCCTTTGATTTGAGAAGAGAATAAATGTTTTTTTTTTTGAAACATTTACCTTTTGAAGCTCTTAAATAGCAAATGAACAAAAATTACTTAATAAAATTATTTTTGATGAATAATATTGTACAAATTCGTCTGTTTTTCCTTCTAATCTAAGCAATATAAAAGGACTAAGCTCTGTTAAAAATTATTATTATTATTATTATTATTAAGTTTAAGTTATGAGGATTTTTACAATATTAGTTCAATTTAATCGGCTATAGAAGCTTAAATCTATTTTTCAGATTCGCTATCAAGCTTGCAATTAAGATTTACATATTGTCGAAAATTAACTTAAACTGTTTTTGTTCAAAACCTGTACATTCATATGCCTAGAACTTAAATTATATTATTAAATTTATTATTATCATAATATTTATTTGAACTTAAACTATATTATTATTATTATTATTATTATTATTTGTTGTGTCACGTGCTCACGTGCGTAGATGGTTTTTAAACATTTACCAATACCAGTCCAACAAACTGCGAAAACAAACTGAATAATAGTACTGAACTCTAATCGAATCGATCAGTGCTAAGATCTGCAATGGCTCAGTCTCAGGTACCCCAAATAGCAATTCTTGGAGCTGGCATATTTGTCAAAACTCAATACATTCCCAGATTAGCTGAAATTCCTCACCTCTTTGTTCTAAGAGCTATCTGGAGTCGCAGTGAGGTAATTAAACTTAATTCTTGAATTGTGTTCAAAGCAAAGAATTGGTTTTTTATGTAAACAAAAAAATATTCTCCATTTCTATGCATTTTTTCGTGGATTTTAGTTTATGGGTTTTGATAAAAATTGGAACTTTATGTAGTCTAGCTGTGAAATTATTTGATTATTAGTTTTAGTTTCTGGGGTTCATAAAAATGGGAACTTTATGTTGTCTAACTGTGGAATTAATTAATTATTATTTTTATATTGCGTTATCTAGAATTTAAAATAAATCTCCCGTTCCTTTTCATGGATTTAGATATCCGGATAAGATAAAAGTTTAAGTTATATGCAGTGATGCAGTAAAAAATATTTTCATTCAGGTTACTTAAAAGGTAATTACAGGTAACTCTATTGCTAAGTAAGATGAGGATGTTAAGATGGATGCACACCAGATTAGATAGGATTCGAAATGGAGTTATTCGGGACAAGGTAGGTGTGACCCCTATTGAGGACAAGATGCGGGAAGCACGGCTTAGATAGTTTGGACATGTGAGGAGGAGAAGCACAGACGCTCCGGTAAGGAGGTGTGAGAGGTTGACATTGGAGGGCCTTAGGAGAGGTAGAGGTAGGCCGAAGAAGAGTTGGGGTGAGGTGATTAAGCATCACATGACGCAGCTACAGCTGACCGAGGACATGACCCGTGATGGGAAGGCATGACCGTGGAGGTCGAAGATTAGTATAGTAGGTTAGGTAGTCTAGATTATTCATACGGTAGTGTTAGTACGTATTCTCGCATTTGGTTGGTAGTAGGCTTATTTGAATAACTGTTTTTTTTTTCTTTTTTTTTTTCCGATCATCTTACTATCTTGTTGTGTATGCTACTTTTACATGGTTTTTCGGTGTTCTCCCGTCTTGTTTCTTGTTATTATTGTGGTACCTATGCTTGCCTGAGCCGAGGGTTTATTGGAAACAACCTCTCTAACTCCACAAAGATAGAGGTAGGGTCTGCGTACACACTACCCTCCCCAGACCCTACTATGTGGGATTATACTGGGTATGTTGTTGTTGTTCTATTGCTAAGTAACCTGCTATCAAAGGTTAAGTTACACTGTTAGTGTAATTCGTTACAGTGTCAGTGTATATAAATTAAATCCATATGATAAAATTGGCAACACTATGTAGTCTAGATGTTGCATTTTCCTTGGCGGCAAGAATTGGTTTGTTTAGAAACTACAAGTTATACACTATAAAACTTTTGCTATTTGCTCGCATTTGTTTGTGGATTTACCGACTGAATTTGATAAAAATGTAAACTTTATGCAGTCTAGTGTAGCATTTTTTCTTGAAAGTGAAAATCGGATCATTGAGAAAATGCAGGATATTTGCTAGTGGTTGTTTGTGGATTTTAGATTTGGGGTATAAAAATGGGAACTTTATGTAGTCTCGTTGGTGTGTTCTCTTGAAATGAAAGTCCGAATCAGCTAATAACTGAGTTTCTTTGTGTACCTTTCTCTGAAGTAGTTGTTATTCTTAGTCGTGATTGTTACCTTATGTTTGTTAGGAATCTGCCAGAAGTGCTGTTGAAATAGCACGGAAGCATTTCCCAGATGTGGAATGTAAGTGGGGAGATGCCGGGCTTGAAGATATCATTAAGAATAGTTCCATTACAGGTGTTGCCGTTGTTCTTGCTGGACAAACCATGGTATATCTCTCTCGCTTGTCTGTATGCTTGTATATATCACCAAGTTCCATATACACAAAGTAATTAACGTTAGTCGAGTGTATCTTATATCCCTGTCTCTATTTCATTTCATGTCAAGGAGGTAATCCTGGAGTAGGAAAGGAAGTATCATTCATTTTCTTTTTATCTGTAAGTATTTTGTTCAAGCAAAAGTGCATGGATATGTACAAGGAAAAACTCAGTAGCTCTTTGTAAACTTAGGGAACTGAGAAATACAAGTAATGCATCAGTATCATAAACATATAGCATCTTGCACTCGAGTGCCAAAAAATATAAAACATCTGTGTTTAAGTCTATGCACAGGTTCAGCTTTCCCCTGAAAGCATCTTTTGTTCCTCTCCCACCTGTAAAAGCTATGGGTTCGGTTGGGTTCAACCGAACCCATTGCTTTTGCTCATACCCTGTATTTTTGCCTAGAAAATTATTAAATATGTACAAACAATAAATTTTGAACCCATTAAATTAGATGAGATGTGGTAGAATTGTGAATCTGAACGCATAAAATTTAAATTCAGGATCCGCATCTGCTCCCACCAGATAACCCAAAATATACATGCAGGAATAGAATTTCATAACTTTCTGAATTCCTTCTTCGGTTTTCTGCCATACCAGCCCGACAAAAGCTCCTTAACCATATACGGCACATATTCCAGATCTGCAAAACCACCCTAGGCCTACACTGTATCAAAGATGATTAACTTTCTCTGTAAGATTACACATACAACATCTGCTGCCTAATTTAGAACCTCTTCTAAAGGTTATTTTGTGTCAAGCACGCCTCATGTGTTGCTGTCTAGCAGAAACCAATCACTCTTGGAGGATATAGCAAATCCAAGAAAATCTCTATCGCCAATATGATTGCTGAGAGGATCCATCGATACTTTCTTATAGGCTGATAGAATTTACCATCTCTTCATGGTCTCCAATTCCATTTAAGTGAATTTGGAGTATTCTGCAAGAGGCTCTCTCTGGAGTCACTGTAATAGTTGGCTGAATCTCTCTTTTTCCCAATCCTCAACGTTTCTCCTGAAGGTGTTAACCCAATCATGGCATAGGAAAACTGCATGGTTATGCTAAATTACTATAGGAATGACTCAGTAAACCGTGACGAACTTAGAGAAACAGCAAAAAATATATACTTTAAAAATTCATTGATGTCAGAATTACAATGTCAGGGATTGGGATTTTTTTTTTTTTTAATCAAATAAGGGTAGACTGTACTATTTATTAAAAGAAAGGTACACACTTTCATGGTCGAATATCACAAGAAATACTTTTATAGGTGTCAATAGTACATGGAAAGAGGAAATGTCTTCACTATCAGCGTTGTACTTAACAAATTGCAATTAGTTCTGAAGTGAAACATCTTGACGATCAATGTTAGATTGATAAATTGCAGTTAGTTCTGAAAATTGTGTTTGACATTTGAATTAATTCATGCAGGTGGATATGTCATTGAGGTTGCTTAAGGCAGGAAAGCATGTCCTTCAAGGTAATTGCATAAAAAGTTGCAATAAATGGTGTTGGAGAAGTTCATTTCTAATAAAATTTCAAGTTTGTTGCCTTGTCAATGAAGCAGGACAAATACTTGCTTTTCATCTTCTCTCCTTATCTCTTACATTTGCTTCTATGAACCGTTTAAATAAATTGTGTAAATAGCTCATATCTGTGCGACGTGCAATTAACTAACCATTGTGTATTTGCATATCTTCTTTTACTTGGCGAAATTGGGAACTCCAGAGAAACCAGCCGCTTCAAGTAAGATGCATTTTCATTTCATTGAACTTATGTATGTTTCTCTGTTCAATTTATTTCTGTTTGAACTACAGTTAACTAACCAGCTTCTAGCGTTCTTCCTATTGCGACTTGTTCAACCTTAAATGTCTTCTACTACAGTACTCTTAGTGACATGACTGATATAAGAAGTTTAACATGTCTTGGTCTTGAGGCTAGAGTAGATCTTTGTTGAGATTCAAATTAAGACCTTGCACGTCTTACATTCAAAATCTTGTTTTTGGAGTTAAATCTGAACTTAATAACCTTGCAACATCCTTCATCAGTGGACTGAGGCCAGGGGCGGGGAGGCACATTGACAGTACTCTTTCATATTAAGGATATATATGTATAATATATTACTTGCAAAAGTACCAACGAGGTGCAGTACATGTGAAAGAGCTAATGCCATTTACATAGTTTATAGTACACCAGAAAACAAAACAAAAACATAAGCATCTATATTTTTTGTCGTGCAAAGCTTCCGTTTTCCTTTGAAACATCTGAGAGATCGCATGCCTCCCCGAAACATTCCATAAGAGACATGCAGAGATAGTTCTCCTTAGGGACTTGAGTTTCTTCTTGATTTTCTGTCCGTGCCAACGAACAAGAGTTTCCTTCACTTCCTTGGCATTACCATTGTACTCCAAAAAGATTGACACTACAAATTTACCAGCTAAAGCTGCAACTAACAAACAGATAATCTGGTACTCACAAAAGTTTACAACACACAGGAAACATCTACTGCAGATATTTATGAGTCATATTCTCAAGGTGTGGGTGGTGCTGGGGGTGGGAGTGGTGGCTGGGGAAATTCATAAGACCGAGGGGGAGGCGGAAACGGAATAGGCTGAGAAGGATCAACAAATACAAATGGAGGAAACTCCGGAAAATCAGGAAAGTTCCTAGCCACTCCAATTTGTCTCAGGCATTGGCGGACAACCACAATGAATGCGTATTATAAGTTAGATGTTGCATCTGAATGTGTTCAATTCTTTCCATTTTGCTCGTCACTCGTTCGTCCAACCTCTCTGTTCGTTCGTCCAACCTCTCTGTACGTTCGTACACCCTTTGAATATTTCCTGTGTAACTCTGAGCTGATGGAGGTGGAGGCTGAACAGGCTGAGATACAGGATCAACAAATACAAATGGAGGAATCTCTGGAAGATCAGAAATTTCCCAAGTCATAGCAATTTGTCTAATCATGTTGGAGAGCAACAAAAACATCTGACTAGTGTAAGATAGTTGTTGCATCTGAATTTGTTCGTATCTGTCCAACTTGCTCATCACGCGTTCCTCCAACCTGTCCATCTGTTCTACCAACCTTTGAATTATTTCTGTGTAACTCTGAGCACCTTCGTGTGGTGGAGGAGGCGGCTGACTTGGTCCCGCTAAATCATTTGGTCCCTCGGTAGGTACAACTCGAGGAATAGGCTGAGACGTAGGATGGACAAATACAAATGGTGGAAACTCCGGAAGATCAGTAAATTCCCAAATCATAGCCATCTGTTTCATCATGTTACAGAATGTCCCCAATAACCGAGTACTGTAAGTTAGATATTGCATCTGATTATGTTGACTTCTAACCAACTTGCTCATTACTCGTTCCTCAAACCTGTCCATCCTTTCCTCCACCCTCCAAATACTTTCCATGTATTCCCGAGCACTTTGCTCGGATGGTGGTGCTAGCTGCTCATCGCGCAGTTCATCCTCACACCCCTGTAACTTATTTGGTCCAGTTGTCATTTCCATTTTCTTCCATATTCTTCTATCAATCATTTCATTCTGCATTTTCACCAAACTCTCGGAGTTTATTCCCTTCTTCCTCAACAACTTAGTAATAGTGGAAGGAAACCTAACAGTTTCTCTCCAACAAGCACATTTGACATTGGCATTGATAATTCGACCCAAATCAATAGGCAACCTAGTATGCATTGCATACACCAGAGTCAACTGATCCATACAAATCTCCGAAGCATTCACATTCGTGCTCGGGATCACTCTACTATTAACAAAACGCAACCAGGCCCGCGCCGCAAACCCAATATTCTTGCTTTTACAGCTGATTTTAACTCCATTTTCATCAACTGACCAGTTAGCTCCATAAGGACAAAGAATTTCCTCAATCTCTTCAACGGGCGGGTCAGCTATTACCAATCGGGTCGACGAATCGTCAACGGGTATAAGACCGTAGAGATTGTTAATTTCTTCAGGAGAAAAATCAACAAGTTGTCCTTTAACATAAGAAAGATTATATGTTGGATTCAAGTTGGCGTAGAACTCAACAACTAAATCTGGGCTGTAATCTTCGGGTGGTTTTACAAATCCGGCCCACCCGTAGAAATTTATGGTTCGGGTTATGTACTTTTCTTTATATCCGTCGTTTTCATTGAAGTCCATGCCTTTTTCTTCGATGAATTTTGGAGTCATTTTTTTGACCTAGAAAATTTACCACGGCTGCTTTCAGTTCTTTAGATGGAAAATATTAGGGTTTTTGACCTTTTATTTGTTTCAACTTGTTTGTTGAACCATTCAGATGTTGCCACGTTAAGCACTATTGGCTTTTGGATTTTACTTGTCACACGTTTTGAAGCATGGGACTTTTTTACTGCACACGTTTCCACAAAACGAATCAAATTTAAGATTTCTTTTGACACATGGCATTTATTGCTTTTCACTGTTACACATATATAATTGTTGATATTCACTGAATATGTATATATAATTTATGGAGAATTAACCCAAATAGCCGCTCACCCAATCGCGTAAACTCAAGTAGTTTAAATTACTACATTAGAATTGTACCTTAATATTAGTTATTTAGAACTAGATAGATGCCCAATATATATATATATATATATATATATATATATATATATATATATATATATATGTGTGTGTGTGTGTGTGTGTGTGTGTGTGTGTGTGTGTGTGTACATATATATACATGTATACATGTATGTATATATATATTCAACGACTGACCAAAATATTAATAAATAAAAAAATAAAAAAATGAAGAAATTAATTTTTTTTTCGTCCCACCCGGTGACCGGTTACCCACATTGGGGCCCGACTAAATCCAGATTCGCGCCGGGAAGTCCCACATTGGGGGGTAAAACGCTCCCTAATAAAGGCGATTCCGTACCCAGGGCTCGAACCCGAGACCTCTGGTTAAAGATGAAGGAGAAATAAAATATTGTTCTTTATTATTAATATTTTGCATTAACTTAGATCAATCAAATAATGATACTTCTATACATATGGGATTATTTTGGTCTAATAAATTTGTCTATTTAGATATATCAAGTTGTTATATATTTGCATTTCACCTATATATATCTGAGATTGTTGTATTAATGCAGCTGTGGACGAGGCAGAAACAGCATTGACTCACTATAATTCTCTAAGCGCCACACTGACTCATCAACCAATATGGGCTGTAGCAGAAAATTATCGCTTCGAACCTGCCTTCATTGAGGTGCTTGTTACTTGTGTTTCGATCTTATTTTTCATATGTGGCTAGCCGGATAAATTAGTTATTGTATTGTACAGGGCAAAAAACTAATTTCTGAAATTGGAGAGATGATGAATATCCAAGTAATCGTTGAAGGATCAATGAACAACTCAAATCCTTACTTCTCCAGCTCCTGGAGACGCCAGTTTGTTGTGAGTATTTCACTAAATGATACATTAGCTCCGCTATCTAATAGAGGAGGGGTAAGGTACACACTACCCTCCGCAGACCCACTTATGGGATTTTACTGGATTGTTGTTGTTGTTATCTAATAGCGGGGAAAAGGTTCTTCAAAATAAAGTGGCTTCTTTCGTCATAGTACATGTTAAATAATCTTGAAGCTAAACTGAATAGTTGATTGTAACATCTCTGGTCTCTAAGTTTTCTTTTTCGTTGTAGTCTTAAGCACAATGGAAGCATTTTCGAGTTGTTAAGCACGTTGCATGCGTTTTTTTCTCTGTTTCAGTTCAGACTCATTGACTTGATTTTTGACGATTTCATTTGATTTCTTCAGGGTGGTTTCATTCTAGACATGGGTGTACATTTTGTAGCTGGACTAAGGATGGTAATATTGCCATCCCTTCCAGATCTATTTGGCGATAGCTATTTTTTAAACATATTTCAACTTGAAGACAAAAAGATGTTCTTTACATTTTGGACGTCACTAATTACTTGTCAAAGCTTCTTCAATTATTAATTATCACTATTGTCCTCTTCAAATGTGCAGCTTGTTGGATGTGAGATTGCATCTTTGTCAGCCATGAATTCTCATGTCGATAAGACTTTGCCTCCTCCTGATAACATCTCGTCTATGTTGTGAGTTCTACACTATTATCCTGATACCATTAGACCTCTCTATAATGGCATCCCTATATAACAATCATTCACTATGAAAGCCAAGTTTTTCTCGGAACCAATTTTGATGTAATCTGATAAGTCTGTCTTCTATCACTAAATATCGGAATATATAAATGAGGTTGTTATAGAGAGGTTTCACTGTATTAGAGATTTAATTTTAACAAAGTTGAATGTAACCGATGATCACCTTTTGTTCTCTCTAGTCAGCTGGAGAATGGGTGTTCAGGAGTTTTTGTGATGGTGGTATCTTCAAAATCACCAAAGGCAAGTTCAATACTAACTATTTTTTTTTCTCCAGAAAGTATTTTCTATGACAACATATCTGTAGAGCCGTAATTCTTGATTAATTATACTGTTCACATCTCTAGATAATCTGGCGAGTTGTCGGTTTGAATGGAGTGCTGCAAGTTGATCGCGGTAACAAGGATGGAAAACATGGCTACTCGGTAATTTGAAGCTTTATTCTTAATTCCGATTAGAACGAATGTGATTTTTTCTAACTTCTTTCCCTTCACAAAGAACAATGGTTTCAGTGCAAATCTCACATATGTTTTGTCTTTAAATTGCTGTCATAGGTTCACCTTCATATGGTTGATGGTCAAAGCAAGAGCTTCTTTTATCCTTTTAGCGGGGTCACTGACGAACTGAAAACATTTCTATCAGATGTATCAACGGCCAACCTGAAGGTAAAATGCTTCCTGAATTTCTCATTTTCTTAGTTTTAGCGTGACTAGGAGGTCACGTGTTCGAGCCATAGAAACAGTCTCTTGCAGAAATGCAGGGTACGTAAGATTGCATACAATAGACTCTTGTGGTCTGGCCCTTTCCCGGACCCCGCGCAGAGCGGGAGATTAGTGCACCAGGCTGCCCTTTAGTGTCCTGCAAATTAGCTAGTCAAATTGATTTGTGCCTCGTGAACTGTACATATATTTTAAGTCACGTTGTTCGGTATGCTTATTTGGCTTTGGAAATGAAAACGAGCAGTCATTTTCCATTGATCAATAACCATGCTTGTAATCCTTTGATTTATCCTTTACCAAATTATGTATGATTGCAGTGTTAAACCACTACTCCAGATCATTGTTCCTGTGGTTTAAATTCCAGAACGTTTTCATAAGGTTTTCTATCAGTCACCATATAAGATTTCTTTTATGCAGAAGGACCAAAGTTCAAACATCGATCCTCGTCTCTCATTTTCTGAAGGTGCTCGTGATGTTGCTGTTTTGGATGCAATGCTCGAATCAGGAAAGAGACAAGGAGCTCTAGTCCAAGTAAAAAAGTTCTAGTTTTACGCAGCCATTACTCTCCTTGAATATTCATGCACAAGATTCTTGATCTTTATACCATGGAGCGGATACGCTACAGAGAAAAAAAGTGATTCATAATTTGAGGTTACAGAAAAAGGATCGATCGAGAGATCTTACTGTCTCTAAACTCTTGAAGATTTCTAGGACAAAACCATTGTACTCTTTTGGACCCTATTATGTAGCTGAAAAACCTCTTGTTCTATGAGATCCTTTATGTTTTCCAGGGTTAGAAGAAAGAAAAGTTTGGACTATATATATGGAAACAAATGTACTATATGAGCTGGAATTTTTGTTACCTAACATTGTTTCAAGCTGAATAAAAGTGATGGAAATTAATTTTAATCCTATATGTACATGCATTTATTTTTGTTTCTAGAGATATGGCTATGGATAAGAAATTTTATCCACTACTAACAAGTGAGCATTTAGCTTATGAAAGATTTATATCATACTAAACAAATATTATAGGCCTATGAATTTTAAGAATGAAGGGCGAAAAATAATCGATCCGTGAAATTAGTCATTGTTATTTGTACTAGGGTAGACTGCTTACATCATGCCCCTTTGGATGCGGTCCTTCACCAGATCCTGCGTGAATGCGGGATGCTTTATGCATCGGGCTGCCCTTTAAGGACGAATTATAAGAACCAAAACGTCAACCTTTAGAAGAAACCGACTAAATAAATATTATCCGCTTTATTTCTTAAGAAATTTTAAGTAAAAAGTCCTAGTTATTATTTTACCACTCCAATTGCTTCTCTCAATGGTACACTCCTTTTCTTGTCGAGCCTTTTTTTCCTTGGTTCATAGTGACAAAATGTAAGATTGGTGCCACCAGTACATCACCGAGGAAATATTTTGGCTGTAGTCATAGTCATCATTCTCCTATGATTTACCGCAAAATTAAAATCTTATTACATTCACCAATCAGAATAAGGATTTATATCGCTAACCCCAACTTGTTTGGCACTAAGGTGGTGTTGTTGTTATTCACCAATAAAGAGAAATATATTTCTTGCTATAAGAAGATAAAAAGGAGAATAGATAGGAAGAAAATTACTTGTATTAAAACCAACCAAACCTAACATCAATTTTCCCTCATAATTTTTATGATCTGTATTGGAAAGTGACTTTGAGAGACAAATAAATAAAATTATTGCCATTTTCTTATCAGAATCATAAGAATATTGATTGAGAAGTGAACAAACAGCACATTACTAATTGAGTCAAGTAGTTGATTTTGAACAAACAGCACATTACTAATTGAAAGCAATCTCTCTTATCAAAATTATTGAATTGAAAGTTGGAAGTATGAACCAATTAAATTCCTTCTTCAGAAAAAATTATTTCAGTTGGGACAAGTTATTGTTTTTTATATAAAAGAAATACAAGATGAACCAATTAAATTCCTTCTTCAGAAAAATTTATTTCAGTTGGGACAAGTTATTGTTTTTTTTATATAAAAGTAATGCCCTTGTATTTGTATTTTTTAGAGAAGAAATTGGGGAAATAAAAAGTTGTTAGGATCAAGGCGTTCTTATTATAGACTCGTTCTTTCTATATATGGATTAGTTCCTGCTTTATAAAAAACGATCCTGATATTAATTAATAAGTGATTAACATGAGATTACTTACGATCGTAAATAATATACGAGAGATTTTTAAATACACATAGGCGATCTATAATTTTACAAAAATCTACCACTTTATAAAAAAAAATAAGATCATATTAATGACTAATAAATGATCAGCCGGAGAACATATAAGCGATCGTAAATTAACATGAACAATTTGTAGGTAACACATAGACGATTGATGATTTTACCAACATCTCTTACTGTATTAAAAATTATTCCGGTAATAACTGATAAGTGATCAACCGAAGATCTTAAGTGATCATAAATAATACATTATTGATTTTTATGTAACACACAAATGATATATGATTTCACCGCGATCCACTTTATTAAAAAATGATCCTGGTAATACTTAATAAGCGATTGACCAGTGATTACTTAGGCGATTATAAATAATACATGAGAGATTTATTTAACACATAGGCAATTTATGATTTCACCAGCATCTCCCATTTTATTTAAAAATGATTCTAGTAATAACGAATAAGCGATCAACCAGAGATCACTTAGGCGATCTTAAATTAAAATGGGCAATTTCTAGCTAGGTAATACATAGGCGATCTATAATTTCACCAGGATCTCTCACTTTATAAAAAAGTGATCCTGGTAATAACTAATCAGCGATCAACAGAAAAATACTTAGGCGATCATAAATAATACATAGACCATTCCTATAAATGATTAACTGAAGTTCACTAATACATGAGCTAGCAATTTTTAGGTAATACATAGGCGATCTATAACTTTACCAGGATCCTCCATTTTATAAAAGAAAAATAATCCCGATAATAACTAATAAGTAATAAATTGAAATCACTTAGGCAATCACAAATAGTACATAGGTAATTTTTAGATAACACATAAGGATCAATGATATCACCAGGACCTCCCGCTTTATAAAAAACGATCCTTGTATAACTAAAAAGCAATAAATCAAAGATCACTTAGGCAATTATAAATAATACATGTGCAACTTTTGGATAACACATATGCGATTTATGATTTCACCATGATCTTCCACTTTATAAGAAAAATGATCTTGGTAATTACTAATAAGTGATTAATCTGTGTCGTTAGGTGTAATGTGGAAGAGGAAGGCCTGCAATATTTGCAATCGAACCAAAAAAACTCTCTCGGCGCACGTTTTGGTGTTGTTGTTTGACTTCGATGATTGCCCAGATCTGGCCAATTTTCTTCACTGTCACTGTCCTGTTCTAGCTCCTCCTCCTGCGTTTTCTCCGTAGCTTTAGCCTTTCCTTTTCCTTGTTCACATGGGCTATCCGCCATGAGCTTTTGGTCCATTGTTGGTGTTTTGGTGTTGTTCTTCCTCGGCCTTCCTCTTCCTCCCATTTCCGGTGACGGCGCAGGTTAGTCAGTCACCAGTGAATTCTAGCAAAAAATTGACATCGATGGAAAACTCAAACAAAGGAAATGGTGTAATGAGGATTGTAAGTGAGAAACCCAGCTCAAGTGTGGTAAAAACCAATGGAACAGTGCATGCAAGCCCAAGCAAGGAACAAAGGACTAATCCTATGGATAATCAGAAGGTAAACCAACAGAAGAGCTCAATTCCAACAGTAGATAAGGGACGATCATGGGCAGGACTACTTCAGGAGAACAAATTAGCAGCAAAAGGTATGAATCTAACCTATATACCCCCGGTAACGAAGGATGATGAAGTAGTAGTACAGTTGATGGATGAGGACATTGAAGAAGAAAACCTAAAGTGGACTAGAGTTGTTATACTCTACGTGGTGGGGAATACTCCATCAATTGGAGCTATTGAAAGGTTCATCACTAATCAGTGGGCAAATGTGCAGAAACCTAAGGTGTTATTCCATAACGATGGCTATTTCATTATTCTGCTTAGTACTAATGAAGAGAAAGAGAGGGTGATGATGAATGGACCTTATACAATTAACAGTAGGCCAGTTATCATGAGGCAATGGTCGGAGAGTTTTGACTTCAATGAAGAAGTGCTGAGGACTATTCCCCTGTGGATCAAGTTTCCAAATCTGCCACTTAACCTTTGGAGTAACCAAGCTTTAAGTAAAATTGGAAGTGGATTGGGAAAACCATTATATGCTGATGCTTGCACAACAATTGCAGAGAGAATTTCATATGCCAGGGTCTTAATTGAGATGGATGTTACAAGGCCACTGCCAGAGAAGATTAAGCTATATGATCCTAAAGGCAAGGTTTTAGATCAATTAGTACACTATGATTGGAAGCCACTGTACTGCCAGAAGTGTTGTCAATTAGGCCATATATGCAAGGACCAAAGGAAGCAGAAACAGGATGGAATGATACAAAAAACTGGGGAAGGAATGCAGAAGAAGGAATGGAGGAAAGTTAGAGTACTTGAACCTGTAGCTGATAAAATTGATGCCCAAGGGAGATTTATTGAACAATTGGAGGAAAGCTCAACTGTGCAACAGAGTAATCCAGAGGTTGAACCACAATGGCAAGTAGCTCGAGGCAAATCTGCTACAAAGAAGCATGCAGATGTCATAAGGGAGAAGGAAGTGGACATTGGTAATGCATTCAAAGCACTGGTTGATACTGCTCAAAAAATTGTCCAACTGTCTGAAGCCCAAGGTGAAAAAGAGAAGCAGAACAAGAAGGCTAGGGAAGGATTTCCACAACTATCTATCATATCATGATGAACTTCATAGCATGGAATGTAAGGGGTTTGAATAAAGTGTATAAACAAAAAGAACTAAAAAAATTCTGTAGAACTAATAAAGTAGTATTGATAGCCATAATAGACCACAGAGTCAAGAGGAGTAATCCTAATTTGGTATTAAGAAAGGCTTTGGAAAACTGGAAATGGGTGGACAACTATGATAAGGCTCCTGGAGGTAGAATATGAGTTGTATGGTATTCTACACAGGTGGATTATACACTGATTAGAACTCATGAGCAATTTATACTGGGAAAGGTCACTATAATGCAACAGAATATCAATTTCTATCATTGTGCTATTTATGGTAAGCATACAGTGCAAGACAAGAAGAATCTATGGGAGGAGTTGTTAAAGTTTGTGATTAGTATAAGGAGTCCTTGTCTCATAATGGGTGATTTAATACCATCCTAACCAGTGAAGATAGATTTAATGGCAGCCCTGTGCAAGAGGTGGAGACAAGGGAATTCAAACAATTCTTATTGGATGCTAAAGTAGATGAATTGAAAATTGTGGGAAGACAATATACATGGACTAATAACCATGTACATAACAGGATTGGCAAAATTTTGGTGAATGCTGAATGGATACAAAAGTGGCCTAACATGGAGGGGATGTCTATGAATCCTGGATTCTCAGATCACTGCCCTTTAAATGTGAGTTTTGATACCAGCAACCAAGCAGGTGGGAAACCTTTCAAATTCCTTAACTGCCTGGCAAGTTTGAATTCTTTTGAAGAGACAGTTCAACTCAATTGGAGACCCATAAATGGTAGACATACAATGCTAGCAGTGTGGAACAAACTTAAGAAGCTGAAAGTGGCACTAAAGCAGATGAATAAGGAAGAGTTCAGTGGAATTGATAACAAGAGACAAGATGCTAGAGGGAGATTAGAAAATTTGCAAAGCCAAATGAGTATCCCAGGCCAAGATGTAGAGCAGGTTGAACTGGAAAGAGCTACAAAATTGGAGCTGGAAAAATGGTTAATGGTGGAGGAGAGCATTATGAAACAAAAGTCTAGGATACA